CATTAGTACCAAATAGAAAATGTTACTGTTGCTCCAGGAAACGTCCTACCTGGCAGCAACGTTTCCAATTATAAAAAGACATCATTTTTGTAGAAAACGATGCTTCCAACCCACACATCAGCAGCACCGTTTTCTGATGCCAAATATATACTTAGTAAAACACAAACTGTAAAATTTTAGTAAATTAATGAAACTATAAAGGTGTTTTAGTAAATGAGTCTTTTTGTTTTACTTTAAAAAGAAAGAAATTGTTGGAGTCTCTTCACAACTAACTTCAACACTATGATATACAAACCTGGCTCTTAAGGAGAGGACCATACATATCTTTGAGTGTCATATTAATTAGTATTATCTACTGGCAGTCGATATAGATTGTAATCAAGACCTATCAAGACCTAAATTCATCACATGCAGATCACTCTGTTTCTTCTCTTTGAACTTAACATCACAACTTTTTTCATCTTTCCATGCCATATATTGAGATGAGATTCACTTAACGTTTTAATTAGTCATTACTTCGCAAGGGGCCCTTAGTTGAGGTTTCTAGGTCACTTGGTTTTCAAACACTAAATATTGATTGAGGGAGAGAGAGAGTGTGTGTTATAATATGCCCGACATCTAATAAATACAAACTATATAACAACCGATGCTGTTCTATCTGAGATGTTTCTTGAACTAAGGTTATAGTCAGATAATTCTGCCAAGTAGATGAAGCCGAGTGGAAGGATAAATTCACACAATAAGATCTGAAACCAAAAAAAGAGTCAGAGGCCTGAGGAGTCATTCTCCGGATAGGCACTCCGATGCTCAAGTCAATGAAGAGAATTGGTGGTCTGGCCGAGCAGTTGATAGAACGGTGCTGGTCCGAGCAGAGCAATAGTATGGGTGCTAGAAAAATGAAAAGTCGAATCCCTTACTTTACGCGGGAGTTATCTTTTTATAGTTGAAGACCTGTGTCTTAATGGATGAGGCTTCCGGGATTGTCGGAATGAGGTTGCTTGCCGAGGCCTTTGGGGTAAAACTTAATCCTCGATAGAACTGTCCTCCTTATCTGAACAATCTCTCATATCTTAGTCATGCTTATCTGAGGATGAAGTCACACAATAAGATAGTGCATTCAACAATGGTTGATCGTCTAATGGCAACTTCCTAATTGTTTTAAGCCTGTAGATATTCTGAGTCCCTCTAATTCCATGGAAACTTTTTTCATTGTATGCTTTTTCTTCCCATTTAAATTCAAGCATTTCATTGTAAGACTAGCAGCTATCTCAATATTATGTTTTTAATCACTCTTTGTAACTTGTACATCAAGAATTTTAAAGAGACAGTTACAGCCCATAAGTTACAGCTAAGGAGTAGCTTGGTCCAGCAGCAACTCGAACTACAGAACCAACACGCTCAAGCTGTTCAACAATTTTAGGTGTTGACCTGTCTACAGAGTCACTGTGGCAACAAGATGTTCCACATCCACTGAGGCAACAAGGCATATAGCCCATAAGTTTTCAAATATGGACTCAGATTTTGTTGGATGTCACAACTCTGTAGTTTCTATTAAATGGCTTAATACATTCTCTTTTAGTTAATAAGTTATCAATTAAGGAGGTTGTGAGTTSCTTGATGGATAAAGCTGAAGTTGGGTTGAGTAGGACAAATTCAAATATTTTATTCATCAAAATACAAAATAATAAATAATTTGGTTCAACCACTTCAATCTTTGCTCTATTTTAATTTGGTAAATTATTGAAATCTTCCTTGAAATTTCTGGTTATTGCTGAAACCTTTTTGAAGTTTGATAATTACAATCACTTCTCCTAAACTTTCTGACATAGTTAAAAATAGAACCCCTTTGGTCCTTTGGATCTTCAACCCATTCATTTGTCAAATGACACAACTTCTGTTGTGTCTAACTTCATAAATGACAATGCTTGATATCATCACCAGACTCTTGGCTTATAAAGAAGAAAGAAAATTTTGTTGCCACCATGCATGCTCATCAGGAGCTTCTAACATTCACGGTCGGCTGCATACCAGGTAAAATTTTAACCAATCTGATATGGGTTGTTAATTGTGAGGAACGCAATATCAGAAAATACAGCCATGAGTACTATGGGATTCAAGTTTCTCTTTTCCTAACTTTTGTGTGAGACCAAGCATAGACAGCTACACTTAACCCAACGTCAATCCTTGATTTGGATTAACCATTTAATGTGTTTTATCAAAGGAAAAGGCATACTAAAACTGGGTTTAAGTAGATTGTTCTTTTCAGCTTCTGAGTTATAAAAATATTTTTTTCTTGTTCATGGGAGTGGAGGTTTGAAATCGGAATTGGAGTGGTCCATTCTGGTTCCAACCATTTGGTTTGGCAGTATTGAAATCCAATTCCTATTACTGATAGAATGGCATTCCCCATTTGAGGGAATGGCTATTCCCTCCCCCTCCATTGTAATGGTGTTTGTATTGTTGATATTGTTTGTTGGTTCTTTTTTCACTATCTTAATCCTTCCTAATGTTTTGTAGCATTTCTTGGAAACTGAATCCATCAGTACGTTAATAAGCAACATATACCAGTTAATCATTTTCTTTTGTTTGTCAATAGTATTTGTCTTTACTTTTTATTATTTGTTTGTCTGCTTGCAGCCACAGATGGATACCATTGCTATATAACAATACCAGAGCTTGGGTGTCTGATGAGCAGAGCTTGGATAATTTATGCAGTGTTGTATTTAAAGCTGAGCAGAGCTTGGATGTCTGCTGGAGTCAACCAAGAGAATGAAGCACAAAGATTATTAGATATCTTAAATTATGATAGAACTGGAAAAAAAGGAAGATGTGTTATATTATTTGACAAATTGATTTTTTTGAAGTCTTTGTATTTTTTATGCCAATTGGATATTGTACTTGAATAATTCTTATGGAAATAATAATAATTAGTTTTTTAATTTAATACATTAATTTTGTTTCAAATATCATTTTTATTTAAGTTTTTTTTTTTTTTTTTTTTTTTTAAAAGAAATTAGATAGTATAAGTACTAGTGTATAAATAAAGTTGTCAGAATAAACATGATATAAAAATATAAAAAAAAAGCTAAGTCGGCGGTCATATGACAAACAATGTCATATAATATCTAAGCCGGCGGTCATGTAGAATCTAAGCCGATGGTTTGAACTGCCACCTAAAGATGGTAGGGATGTTTAAAAAAAGCTAAGGTGGTGGTCTTTTAGGACCTAAGCCGGCGGTCAAAACCGCTGCCTTATTGGCGCTAACCCGGTGGCTTCGATAGACTGCCGCTTTAGAACAATTTGAACCGCCTTCGGCTAGCCATTAAAGGCGACGGTCATTTTAACCTAAGCTGGCAGTCCTGATCTAAGGCGGCAGCTTCTTTGGGGCAGACACAAGACGCCTTAGACCTAACCAAACAGTCTTAAGGCCTAAGCCAGCAGTCCTATGGCTGCCGGCTTTGACCTTTTTTCTTGTAGTGGCTGCCGGAGATTCCTTCTGTTTTATTCCGAAATTTTGAAAAAGAAGGTGGAGGGCTATAGGGGTTCGAAAGAGGGCAAATCGAAGTGTTGTCTAAGATTGAATTGTTGGGGCTGCGGAAGATTCATTCTGTTTTATTTTGAAAATAAGAAGAATAAAGGGTAAAATACTCTTTTTTTGTCTTTCTGTTAATGGACACTAACGATAAGGGAAGTATTAGTCAATTGTCAGAAATAGTAGGTGTAGCGTTAGTCAATTTTCAAACAGTAAGGATACACTTATCAATTAATTAAACCATAAGGGTAGTTTTAAAAATTTACCTAAAGATTTTTTATTTCATTATTTTATTTGCTAAAAGTCAAAGTAAGTCTTCCAATTCAACAACTTCATTCTGTCTTTATCAAATGCCACCTTAAAAACACTTGTGAGACAAATGTTACGCTTTGATGTGCTTATCGGTGTACTTACCAAATCCAGACTCCCTTTCCCTCTCCACTTTAAATATCATCAATATACCCCACTTCATTTTTATGTTTTCTCAATATTAGGGTTCAAAGTTTCAATTTTTCTTTTAATAACATTTTTTCCCTCAAAAGGGTAAGGGTGTTCACGGTCTAGTTTGGTTTGGTTTGAAGATCTTAGACAAATCAGTAAATTACGGTTTGAGAAACTCTCATACCAAACTAAATCATTTTAGAATAGAAACAAAACCAGACCAAACCATTCTATTATAGTTTGGTTCAGTTTCTAATACAGTTTGGACCATTCTATTGAGCTTAACTCAATTATAATGCCCAAATTACATGCACCCAACATAAATAACAAATTTAATTCAAATATCAAATTGAAATATTAACAAGTGCCATTTATTACCATTATATACATTACACTCACACTTTATTTCTGATAAACTAACCTTAATAAAAATGATGGTGAAATAGTAAAGACCTGACCCATTGACAGCCCTAGTTGCAAGATGCACAATAAGGATTTCCTCAAATTAAACCTCTTCATTAGAAGTGGTGGTGCTAAAACCCCATTGAGTTAATCTAACACTTTTTTGAATTTACTACTTGCTACAGACATTTTGGCAAATTTCTACACAAAATAACTGAATAGCATTATATAGTGCTGTTTGTCCACCAAAAGAAATAAACATTTCAGTTCAGTCAATTCAGCAATAATTATTAAACAAACAGTGCCTAATGCTACAAGCGAGTCAAAGTTCTAGCTGCTAGAGGTACATCACATACGGCTCATCAGAAACATCGTGTGGGCCTTAGTGGATGAAAATAATGTAACACATTGGCCACAAAAAACATTCTCATAGTGTTTAGTAAATGCATTTGGAGCAGCCATGAGTTTGACTAGTTTGTATCCTTATTATTCTTCAAATAAAACATTACCAGTTTTCATACATCAACTCAGCAAGAATAAGATGATGTGTTATGCAATAGTGGTTTATCATCCAACGGCAATCCAACACTATTCTCTAGACTTCCATATCTAGTTGAAGTTGAACCAGTATCCCATAGGTTTGATGGTTGTCTTATAAAGCACTCCACTTCTTGATGGGTTTCTTGAACAAATGCTTGGCCTTTAGATATTCTCAACCCCTCTAACTCTATAGTGACTTCCTTCATTGTTGGTCTTTTTTTTCCATTCAAATTCAAGCACCTCTTTGCAAGGTAAGCAACTGCCTCAACTTCTACCTTTTCACCCTCCTTTACCACTTGTGCGTCAAGAATCTCAAAGAGACGGTTCTCCTCTATTGAAGTTAGGAAATAAGTTGCTAAGCTTCTCTGTTCTCCTGGTCTCGATAAAAAAATTGGCTCCTTTCCAGTCAAAAGCTCTACAAGAACTACTCCAAAACTATAAACATCACTTTTCTCTGTGAATTGGCTTGATTGGTAGTACTCAGGATCCAAGTACCCAAAGGTCCCATGTACTGCTGTGGTTAAATGAGTTTTATCAACTGCAATTGACCTTGAAGTTCCAAAATCTGAAACTTTGGCTCTATATTTATCATCCAAGAGTATGTTTGTAGATTTCACATCTCTATGATATATTGGTGTAGAAGCTGCTGAATGTAAGTAAGAAAGTGCTCCTGCAACTTCTGTAGCAATTCTTAATCGATTATTCCATGTACATGACATGTTGTCACTTTGATCATGGATATGTTGGAAAAGGGTTCCACAAGGAATGAACTCATAAACTAGTAGAGGAGCTTCTGTTTCCAAGCAGCAGCCTAGCAACTTAACCA